AAAAAGAGAATAAATAATAATTTTTTTATGAATTTTTATGTGCACCCATGTAATTCAAAAGAAATTAACCAAAAACGCAACAAACAGTTTTGAATTAAAATCTCAAAAAATATTTACAGCAGTAACACCTTCCATATCTCATTTTAAAGTGCATAAAATGGGCTTCTCTGGGAAATATAAATCTCATTGCTAAAACCCAAGACTTTCCTGAAAAAATAAATCTAAATGACAAAATACATGTAAGTACGTATTAGTGTAAAACTTGAGGGAAAAGTCACCTATCCTCATAAGCATCAGTTACTAGAGATTATTTAATAGCAAAAGTTAATTGTCAACATGTAAGCAACATTTTCTTAAAATCTGAAAGCAAAGAAATACATAGCAATTTTTTTCTGAATTTTTTTTTTGCACCCACGTCATTCAAAAGTAATCAACCAAAAAAAAAAAAACACACCATTCAGTTTTGAAAATCTCAACAATTATTTACAGCAGTAATACCTACCATATCTCATTTTAAAGTGCATAAAATGGGCTTCTCAGGGAAATGTAAATGTCATTATTATAATCCAAGACTTTCCTGAAAAGATAAATTTGAAAGACAAAATACGTAAGAAACAGTGTAAAACTCGAGGTACAAGTCACTTATCCTCATAAGTATAGGTTACTGAAGACTATTTGATAGTAAAAGTCAATTATTAACATGTAAGCAATATTTCCTGAAAATCTGAAAGCAAATGAATACAAAGTAAATTTTTTCAGAATTCTTATGTCCACCCACGTCATTCTAAAGAAATTCGCACATCACGGCCCATCCTCCTCTTATAAAGCCCTGATGTGCCACAAAGTAAATAAATTATCATCAACATTGATATACTGATATCCAAGACAAATTCAAGGCATTCTATAGCATAGGCATTCGAGAATTATAACTTGTTACTCTGGCTTTCCCGAGGAAACGCCCAAGGTTTAAATTCGGCTTTTTTTTTTTGCGTTCAGTCACAAAACGCAGTTCCACTACAGCGCATGCGTAAAGTGTATGTGCATGTGTAGAATGAACCTTAGGGTGCATGGTTTAAAGCAAGAAAGCAATGGCTGCCTTTGTGGAGAATTATTTGCTTGATACACGCGAAAGAAATTTTGATGGCTATTGTGCTCAATATACATAGAAAGTCACACACCGGTACATGTATCAGTGGACCCACACTAAAACTTGTGGAGCGGTTTGGGAACGGGTCGGTTAGGGAACTTTACAAGAGATCAATTTACAAGTGATCCTTTATGATCGAGTGAGCCTTCTATTGAGGAATATCAAGCGAAACCCGCTATATCAAAGGAGCTCTCTCATATTATGTTTACATGTATACACAACCATGTATTTAGACGTGATCGAGAACCCAGTAGAATACAAGATGCTTCTCTGAAACGTGTCAGAAGAAAGAGCAGAAAACTGAAGGAATTTGTTTATTAGTGTACTGTAATCGTCCAAGCATACCGAATTCCTCGTGGGTACCTCGTTATGTGAAGGTTAGAAGAGTTACATAGAATGTTTGTAAGCTTAATATGAAGAGGGTAAGATTAAATAAAGTTACACAACATGAAAAAAAGTATTTGTTGAATTGTTCTGTGAGGGTATATCAAAGGATAATTAAACTGAAGTATAGAGCAGGTCGGTATTTATCAGTGTTTTCTTGTAATAGACCCATGTGTCTTTGTAGGAGTCTGACACACGTATCAAACTATTGTAAATTTCAACTGAGTTCAGATATAGAGAAAAACTCTGGTCTTACTCCAATGTACATTGACCCTAGCAAACCAATTACGGCACAAGCTATTAAATGAGTTGGTATTTGGACAAAATTCAGGACAATTTGTTGTAATTAGTTTGTGCTCTTTGATTTACAATAACAAACAAGGAATCAATTCTACTAACGGTCTCGTGTCAATAATCAATATTGGAGATCAGTTGTATTCAAGTTTGTTTCAGTTAACCAGACAATCATTTTTAATGCAGAGAGAATTACCCACACTTTTAAATGTGTTCGAGACTGACTATGAACTTCAATGCAGTGAAAGTTACACTGGCACTATTCATCAAGAAGCTACAATTAAAGGATATCAGTACTGTAACTCCTTAGGTAAAGCCTTTCAATCACTTATATCCAAAAATTTTAACAATTTTGTCTTGATAATAGGATATACTGCAGTAGCTATCTATTGTAAAGGCAATGTTGGCTTGAAAATATTCTATTCTCATCCAAGGGATATTTATGGTGGAAGCCATTCTCAAAGTACATTTGTGGTGCTTCAAGTATCATCACTGAATAGCTTGGTACATTATTTGCAGAGTATACGTTAATAATATATTTGAGTTCAAAGCGGTTAAAATTAATAAAGTTCAAAATAGTGCCCATTTTCAGAGCCATGCCTGCGAAACCAGAAAGTTCAAAGTGAAGTGTGCTGTGGCTGTCTATTCATTCTGCTACTCCGTAATAAAATCATGTAGTTATTGGAATTCAAACACCTTATCTAATTTTAATCAGTATGGCAAAAGATTATGAAAATTCATCGTTAAACAAGTATTTACTGTCAGATGATTTGCCAAAAACTGATGTTTGTGGAACTTAATTAACTTTAGATCTTAAAAGTGATTACAGTGAAGGAATAATTTCTGATTCACTTGACAGCAAATCAGTTCTCAAAATTATTATAAGAAACAGTAATTGAATGTACTGGGTTTTTGATGTGGTTTTCAGATTTTTGTATGACATGTATTTTTAAACCCACAAAAAGATAAAAATATGTGTATTCCCTCTTGGTATGTAATGAAAGTCAAATGCCTCTAATTGGTTATACTAAAACGGTAAATAGCAGTGCTTCCCTTGTTGTGGCCATCAGCAGTATTAAATATTCAGAGATTTTTCTATTAGAAACAATATGAACTATTGAACAGTAATATTGCTTCAATCTATTGATTTCTGATAACTCTCCTTCGGTGAACATTTGGCAACAAACTATGACTTGGTACCAATAATAGATAAAAAATCCCTTCTCCTTGCTGTTAAAGACAAATATATTACCTACCAAGAGTTTGTAAAAGCCTTGAAAGTCCTCAAAGATGCTTGAATTTAAAAACTCAAGGCCTTGAAAGTACTTAATTTGAGGCGTGATTTTTGTAATGCTTTTTCTTTAGCAATTTTCAAGCTGAAAATTACTGCACTCTCGTGGAAAAGCTGAGAAATAATATTAAATAATTTTAAAACTGCTTATGCAAACTTTTCCAAGTGGTCCCTTCAATTTTCTAAAACTTGGCCTTCAAAGTCATTAAAAAGTCCTTGAATTTCAACCATTGGCATCTACAGGAACTTACTCCTATTTGGTAATATATAATTTGGATTGTTGTCTAGTACCATAGCAACATTCATTACACTCCAGCAGACAAAAATAGACACACGTAGCCTTATTCGTGACCAGCAATGATGAAATTGTGTGACAACAGTAACAATGGCAACATGGCAGTCCACTAAATTTGAAAGCCCGAAAATATTGAAAGCCCGAGTTTACGCAGATATGCATCTAGTTATTTGAAATTGGCATCCAGTAAAACATTGACTGGACTGGATTAGTAAAACATGGATTAGTAAAACATGGATTAGCAACACATGAATTAGCAACACATGGATTAGTAAAACATGGATTAGCAAAACATGGATTAGCAAAACATGGATTAGCAAAACATGGATTAGCAAAACATGGATTAGCAAAACATGGATTAGCAAAACATGGATTAGTAAAACATGGATTAGTAAAACATGGATTAGTAAAACATGGATTGGTAAAATGAATGCTAAATAGGGCGAGTTACATTTTATCTTACTTTTAGTAGTATTTTATCTTACTTTTTTACTCTTGCTTTTAACCAAATTATTTCACACAAAATAGACAGTTTCATTTAAATACTGATGTTGCCTTTGCCCACCCCCAGGCGGTTTTAATCGAAAACAACATTCCTTTACCATTGTTTTATTTGCATGGAAAGTGACAGTTGTGTATTAAACTGTGCTGACAAAACTGCAAGCGACTAAAACTTGACGCTTGAGTAACCGTACACGACTAAAACATTACCTTACATGGATCAGAGGAACCGTCTCCTTCTTGGATTTCCTTTTGACTTCTTGACCATAGATGGCACCTTAAAGGTTGCCCTCTTGATCGAGAATACAAATGCCACAAACACCCGCTCCACCAAAATTAACATTCCTTTCCCAATCCTAGCCAATCACATTGTACTTTCCAAATTATGGAAAGTTGACCTTGACCGTAAGGTAAACTGATATTTTCCAATCTGCTTGAAACACTGAGAAAGCTTTCTGACCTCTAATAAATGTAAGATTCAGTGCAGCAAAAGTAAGGTTTAGTCAAATTTTAGAATACTCCGTGCACTAAATAATCTTAGCAAAGGAAATCAAAGGAGGAAACGGTTACTCTGGGCCGTCTAGGGTCACGTTTTAGTCGTGTACGGTTACTCAAGCCTCGTGTTTTAGTTGCTTGCGGTTCTGTTTCGTCATTGGTCGCTACGGAGTCACGTGAGAAAGAGCACGAGCCTGGGAAGATCAGTTGTGTGTGATCCTTTTGGGAAGGTCGGACGTTGTTTGTTCAACACTGAGAAAACTAGATAACTGCTGAAAATATGAGTGGAAGGGACCCCCTTTCACCGGCAGAAGAAGAAAATGTACTTTCTGAAGAGAACGAGACAGTGAATTCTTCGCACCGGGGTACAGACAAAGTGTTTGCAGATGTATTATTGACCATGACCCAAATGAGTTCCACCATGTCGTCCATGGAAAATGCAATGAAACGGTTAGCTGGCGCACCAGAAGACCATGCTACACCATGAAAAAGGAGGAGAACATCTCCTACAACTAATACCATGAGTGATAGTGGAGACCCTGAGAAGTCAGATTCTGAGGAACTTAATTTCCCGCCCAACGGCGACCTGCCAAAACTGGGCAGCTCTGACTCATTGCTCAATGAAATTGCTCGACTTTGAGTCAGACGAGCAAACTGACCCAAAAGTTGCTCAGAAATTGGCGGATATTGGTAATAAGCAATGGGGTTCTAAGTTAGAGGAAGCCAAATTAAAAGAAAAATTGGCGAAATACAATCAACCCGATAAATGCCAGAAATTAACTGTACCAAAGGTCAACCCCAAGATCTGGAATAAGCTGAGGCACATGACCAGGAGCGCAGATTTACGCCTTGCCAACATGCAGAAAGTACTTGGCAAAGTTGGTAGTGCAATCGCTAAATCGACTGACACACTGTTGGCTATCCATGCAGATCCTGAGAAGACTGTAGCCTCGGCTCTCAGTGATAAATTGGGGAAATTAATCACGCATAATGCCAATGCTCTGGCATTGTTAGGCCATGTAAACATTGACCTATCATACCGTCAACGCGATGCCATCAAACCAAACTTAAATAACGAATATTGCTCATTGTGTGGCTCTCAGGTACCCATCACGGGTTTATTATTTGGAGATGAGCTGCAATCTCAGCTTAACAATATCAAAGCAACTAACAAAATTGGCCATGCAACTACTGCAAAGCCATATTATTGCAGCCATATTATCGCAACCATAGTGATGGCTGGAAGGGCAAATCTTCTCACTCAAATGGAAAGCATTTTTTAGGGAAGAGGGGCTGGTCTTAGCGGCCACACAACCACAATTCCTACAAACCACGGGAAACCGAGAAGAAATCCAGCCAGTGAAATGCTCTGATATCCCAATAGACAAGGTAAATATGTTACAGTTCCTTGAGCACAAGGCGCACTGCTTTAAAGCAGGGGGGCTGGGAGAATATTATTATCAGTGGCAGGCCTTAACCTCAGACCCTGAGATATTGCAAATAATACTAGGCCAGCCAAACAAATTTACCAGGACTCCATATCAAAGAGTAGCCCCCAAGGAGATGAAAATCCTTGATTTGGACAAACAACAAGTCATGTCATTGATACTGAAATAGCTGAACTCCTTGCTAAGGGTGTTATTACCCCGAGTAGTCACAAAAAGGGGAATTCATATATCTCTCCTATTTTCACTGGGCCAAAAGGGATGGTTCTTTGAGAGTAGCTTTAAATCTCAAGTGTTTAAACACTCATGTACAATATCACCATTTTAAAATGGACTCATTTAATACTGTTTTACAAATGGTAAAACCTGGGTGCTTTATGGCATCCATAGATTTAAAGGATGCATATTATTCTGTGCCTATTGCCACTGCAGACCAAAAATACCTGAAGTTTCAGTGGCGTGGAAAACTGTAAAAAATTAATGTTTGCTTTCCAAATGGATTGGCATTTGGAAAGGCTACACAGGTTGATGCTGGAATTGACACTTCGAAGTACAGTGCGCAGAGCACTCGATTAGCATCTACATCTGCAGCAAAAGCAAACAGCATATCTGTCGCCACAATTATGAAAAGTGTGGGGTGGTCCCAGGAGTCCACATTTACTAAGTTTTTCAACAAACCAGTGGAACCTTGAGAGAATTTCGGAACTGAGCTCCTTAAAGCTGTATGTAGTGACACCTATGATAGTGTCTTATATTGGTATGTTTTGATGGCTAAGAGAGAATGTTATTAAAGCAGGTTCATATTGCTATAAATCATTGTTATCTTTTTCAGTTTGCACTCACACTGCTTTAAAATCTCAGGTAACTCCATAGCAACCAATGACGAAACAGAATACCTAAATCACACAAGGCTTACCTGTAAGGTGAAGTTTGATTGGGATTCTGTGAGTCATTGGTCGGGAGCGAAGGAGTCATGTGCCCACCCATGTGTTATTAACCCACCCATGATTGCGTGTAAGTGCTCACATCTGTTAAAGACTGTCTTCCCAGGCTCATGCACCTTCTCACATGACTCCTTCGCTCCTGACCAGTGACTCACAGAATCCCAACCAAACTTCACCTTACAGGTAAGCCTCATTTAATTTAGGTATTTTTTGTCAGCACAGTTTATTTCACAACTGTCACTCTTCACGCAAATAAAAGAATGGTAAAGGAATGTTGTTTTCGATTGAAACCACCTGCGGGTGGGCAAAGGCAACATCAGTATTAAAATGAAACTGTCTTTTTTGTGTGAAATAATTTGGTTGAAAAGTAAGAGTAAAAAGGTAAGATAAAATACTACTAAAAGTAAGATAAAATGTAACTCGCCCTACTTAGCGTTCATTTTACTAATCCCTGTTTTACTAATCCAATACAGTCCATATTTTACTAGATGCCTTCGAAATTTTGCCAGTTGGCGCTTGAGTTATTTAACAATTATTCCACGAGCGCGCATTGGATATGAGATGAGAGATAGCCAACGAGGCACGTAGCGCCGAGTTGGCTATAATCATCTCATATCCAACAAGCGTGAGTGGAATAATTGTTTTATTAAAAACTTTAAAATATATTAAATTTTATTTCATTTTTAGCTACCTTTTAATTTTAATCTGACATGTACGCTTGCCATATTTGTAGATTATGGTATATCGGCTGATATACCATAATGGCTAAGCCAATAAAAAGTCTTGAATTGCATTATCCAATGATCTAGTTTTTAATAAAAATAATTATATCACTTACCAAGACAAGGGCCATTGTATTACTCAGTAGGCAGTTGAACCGCAAGCCTTTTCCGGTCGCAGAATAATTTCTCATCTTCAACTTCTCCTTCGCTAAAAATGTTAAATTTGTAAGTAGTAACTGCAGAGTACCCTGAGTGTTTATATTCCGTATGTTACTCAAAATTAACCGAATGGAAAATCGATGCTAAATTAGTTCAATGACATGTAAAATTATGAGTGGCAGGGTATTCTGCAGTTTAGCCATTGGAGTAACTGCAGAATACCCTGAGTGTTTATATGCCGTATGTTACACAAAACTAACCGAATGGAAAATCGATGCTAAATTAGATCGCCAACGAATATTGCACGTAACAAACGCAACCGAAAATGCATTACCATAACAACAGATGATCATCGCCCTGTGTCCCACTCCGCTTCTTCAAATACCTCAAATAACGTCGGATCCGATTGCTAAACCACGCTTTTAGAACGTATCGCTGAGTTTTAAAGCCCCAAAGATCAATTTATAACCGAATTTTAATGAACCAAGCGAGAAATCAAACACAAAAGGGCAACTCCGGTAAGAAAAACTTCGCATTGAAGACCAGATGTTTAGTTATCGCGGCCACGTGGTCGATGCGATCAATTCGCAATGGATTTATTGACTTCTCACCTTGATCTGACGGTCTCATTTTCCCACTGCAGGTTCAGATTACTTTCTTCTACACTTCCCATCGCTTCAGCGGTGTTTTTGCCATAAGAGATCTTCTCCAAAACCATTTTCCGCGGAGGCAAGGATTGCGCGCGTGTACTAAATAGTTCAAGGGTGAACCGTGAATTTATAAAATAGTGTTGTGTAACGAGTATTCAAAGGTACCTCAGCAAACTTGGTGAATGATTGGTCTAATATCTAAACGTCATACATGCCCAATTTAGGGGAAATCGGAAGTAACGCAATACCATTTCGGGCCGCCGGAGGTCGGGCAGAAATTTCTGCTCAATTTACAGGGGCTGCTAGATAAGGGTATAAAATCCCCTGATGAGTGAGCAATCACGAAACAGGCTTGAAAAACAGGAGGTTGATTAAAGGAAACAAGTCTACTTGAAACGGTTTGCCATATTTTCTTGAACAAAACCTTTGAAATTGTCATAATTCGTGGCGCTGTCGAGCCAGCTCATCGCAAGTTTTAAATTAAATTCACACTAATCCTATTCGTCTGATGCTTCTGCAATTGATTGGCAGCACAACCAACTCATAACCTTTCCTTAAAAATAAAATATGATTTTTTTTCTCAAGTGCACCTACAGCTGCTCTGAAATAGATTCGTTGGTACTTCAAACAAACGTGCCAAAAATGCCCGCGGTACGCAATAAAATCGACCAGGAAATCTCCTGAGCCATGTTCAAGGATTGCTTCAACTTTCTACCGTTTTATTTCCCTGGGATCTTTCGTATCTGTACAACAAGACATTCCTGAAGTAAGCCAATTTTCAGTATCCGCCATTTTGAAGTATTAACACTTCCCATGTTTGCAGTTAAAAGTTTCCAATGTGAAGCTCCTCTAAATTGTTAAGCAAAGCAAAATCAATGGAATAAGCTAAATATACACCAGAGAAAAATTTAGAGGTACACGTAACAGAAAAGCGTGGAGAAACGTTTTCAAAATATGCTGTGACTCACCTCTTGACCTCGTCTTTATGTGTTTGGCTCGTCATGACATGTTAGAGCATGTTAGTTTGTTTCGTGCTAAATTCTGGTTTCTCCTTTTCTCAAGCGACCTTTGCTAAGTAAGTCGGCTTCATGTTGGCGACGTTTCTTATCAGAACACTTTTCGGTGTTGCGTTGGTAGACAGAAAATCACCTGACACATTGCAACAATCGGTTCGATCACTTGTCTGATCTGTCATGCAATTGAATAACAGGCATCTACATTTATAAGTCTTGCAAAGAGGGGCCATCATCGAAGCCGTGACTGCACTCTTTTTCACGTTAGAAGTAATTTGTAAAAAGACCCACATATTAATAGCGTGCAAAGAATGAGCCCAAATTTTTTTTTAAACATAGTGACATTCTAAAGTTGAATGTTAAGTCCCAAAGATTTGCTTTTTGTGTGACTTGCTCAGGTAGGCAACCTATCTCTCGACAAGCAACAAGAATATCACGTAATGAGCAGCATATTGCCAATTATTCATGGACGTAGACACGTGGTTGGGATTTTTGGCACATTGAATTTGAACAAAAATAAATCACCATAAAGCAAATTCCTGTCCACCTAAACCCATTTATTTTCTTACTATTACAGTGTACCATAAAAGCCCACACTTTAACGTCAATTTCACCGTGTCTTTTCCATACTTCGAACATTCTTGAAGGCGTAGCTCCTGATCTGACATTAGTGAGGTCACATAATGTTATAAACTGGAAATATATTGAAGCTCTTGTAGGGAGAATTAATTGCTTGATACTATTAGTGTTTGAATAATATTCAATTGCTTGATATGCTTAAACTAATTATAACAATTGAATAGTTTATATGAACCAGCCAAATTCGTTTTGATTCTATATAAAAAAAGCAAATCGAATAAAAAAGAAAAATTGGCTGCCAAGCATCGTACTTTGCACGGATGACGATTTTCCGTGTTCTCGCCGGCGAAATACACTTCATCCGTGTTCCAGCTTCCCACGACATGATCCGTCGAACACGGGTGAAAGTGGACGCGAAATCGATTTTTTGGCTGTGTCCGCGATTTCGATGATCATATCTGAGTTTTACTGACATTGACTCTTAAAATCGGTCAGTGTAAAACGACGGTCTGCGGACTGCAGACTGCAGACTGCAGACTGAGGACTGCAGACCGGGGGGTAAAATGCAGACTGAGGATAAAATGCAGACTGCAGACCAGGGGTAGAATGCAGACTGAGGGTGAAATATTTATAATAAAAAAACCAGTCTTAAGGATGAAATAAAGAGTGTTCGTACCCGTAAAAATTGTCACGTCAGGACTCACGAAACACACAAAGGCCGCTTCATGTTATAATTTTTCGTGTTTGGATAGCCCAGTCACCTTTCAGCAATATCAATTCACAAACCTCTTGATACATTGAAGTCGAGTACAAAGATTGAATGTCTTTCACAAACTATGCTCGATACCTACAAGTTACCTTGACTTGTTGTTGAGCTGTCGTGTTTTGCTTGTCTTGTCGTCCAAGGCCATATGAAGAATTTGAACGCTGAAAGAGTTATTCGGTCCCAGAGCTATTCGCGAAAGCACAATTCAAAATGGCCGACATGTAACCAAAAGTAAGATGCATAGTATTACCATCAGTTTGGGCGCTTTTGGGAAACTTGGTTCAACAAAATAGGGAGTTTAAGAACTCGAGTTTGATAATATGTTTGACTAAGATGAATACACGACTTTTGGTTTGAGTTTTCGGGATTTTTAAAAAAAAAAATTTACAGGTACGCGTGGGAACACTCGCAAGTCTTGTTTTTTATTATTGATACTTTATTTTACCCTCAGTCTGCATTTTACCCCTGGTCTGCAGTCTGCAGCCTGCATTTTACCCATGGTCTGCAGTCCGCAGTCTGCATTTTACCCTCAGTCTGCATTTTACCGCCGGTCTGCAGTCCGCAGTCTGCGTTTTACACTGACCGACTCTTGATAAGTCTGAAGGATAGGTTGCTCTTGAAATCATGATTTTAGTCTGGCGCAATACTATGTTTCCATTTTAACGCCTCATTTCTCTTTCCACCGATAGCAAAGTTAACATTGTGTTCTCCACCATGTTTATTGGTATCAAATACATCTGATATAGTAGCTGTCGACTATGGGAAAGTAAAGGTAAACTCAGCGATTCAAGGCCTTACAAGAGCTGTAGCAATAGACGTTCATTTCAGCTTGGGATACATATTTTGGAGTGACGTGACGGAACTAAATATCAAACGATTCCGGATTGACGTGAAAAGCACGACTACGGTTATTAGCAATATTGGTGTTTGCGACGGACTAGCAGTTCAGTGGAGAACATCTCAGTTGTACTGGACTGATACAACGTATAATAAGATATCGGTATCAGACTTGGATGGTAACAACCAACTAACTTTACTATCTTCGGCATTGGAAGAACCCAGAGCAATAGCCCTTGATCCGGACAGCGAGTAAGTGTCATATTTATACAATGTATCATTATGTGATGAATTAACTGTTTAGTTATGCTACTGTCTTCACTAATCGAGCTTCGAATACATCACTGAGATTTGGAGAGAGCGAAGGGTTTTAGAGGAACTTCATTGCAAACCTTATTTCACCCTGTCTTTCTCCTATTTCAAAACCACTAAGAAAGATGGTGATAATTGTTTTTTGGACCAGTGTTTCGCCCAGTGTTTCGGTGTCGGTGGTTTCTCATTTTCCCATGGAATGAACCATCATTTAAATTGGTTCGAAAGGTGTTGGACACGCTAAGTCCATTTATCTTTGGTACTTAGTTATCAAGCGTAATTCTAGCTGGGAATCGATCTTTTTTCACTCTTCTATAGCTTTCGTCTTGAACTAATTTTAAATGGCTTATCAATCGATTCATCGACTGATAAACCATTTGCTAACTGACCTACAGACTCGCGCACTCCCTAATCAATAGATTAGTTAGCAACTGACGGCTTGACTGACTGACTGACTGACTGACTGACTGCCCACTTCTAAATTAAACTGACTAACCTGTAGGCTATATAGCTGGCTGGCTGGACGGTTGGTTCAAGGATTGACTGACTGTCTACTCAGTTAAATGCGTTATTGATAGCTTGATAAATTGATTCATCTTACTGAAATGTTTGACTCATTGATCCCTTTATTGACAGTGTAATGATTTGGACAGACTGGGGAAGTACTCCAAAAATTGAAAAAGCCTCGCTGAGCGGACAGCAAAGAGTCGCTATCGTAACGAAAGAACTTTTTTATCCAAATGGGATTGACCTCGATAGAGGAAGCAAAAGAATCTTCTGGGTAGATGCCGGCTATGACAGAGTGGAATCAGTCGACTACAATGGTAACAACAGGAAACTGCTTTTCCAGATGTATGGCCTACATCCCTTCGGAGTTGCTTTGATCCCTCCTTTCCTGTTCTTTACTGACTGGGTGACATACAGGGAGTTCCATATGCTAGACGCCACGACCGGAAAGGTACTCAGAAGTTTCAATATCAATGGTGGGCAACCTATGGGAATTGTAGCTTACGACAGCGGGCGACAATCAGTAGGTAATATTAGGGAGGTTCTATGTTAGTCATAAATTAGGTCTCCCTCATCAAACACTGTTGGAACTCATTTGTAACGTGCCACAAATGAAAACCAATATTTCCGAAATCCAGGACGTTATTTTAGCGTTAACCACAGTGCCGCAGTGTCAAGGTTAGCTATAGCGACCAATTTGGTCGGTAGACTTCACGAAATTACTGAATTTAAGCATATAGCGAATAAAAATGGATGAAGGATTGTCCATCATCATTTTCTTGGAGCTCTTTCTTCTAATTACCTGTCGCTTACACCTGCGTTTCTGTTCCGAATTCGGAGTAAAGTAGATGAAGAAGTGGAAGTTAAAGCAGTCTGTACTTAACCAAAGTGTGCGGTGTCGTAAGCAAAGTTTCCGGCGTCTGAAGAAATTGTATGGCCGGCAACAGAAATTGTGCACATTTTCAATTTGGAATCATGTGTTTACAAAGCTTCAGGTCCTTGCGCTGTAAACAATGGAGGATGCAGCCATTTCTGTATTCCTAAGGCATCCAACCATGAATGCGTGTGTCCAACAGGCCTAGTGGTAAAGCAAGATGGAAAGACTTGCGAAGAAAGTAAGAAAGCTTTTTGTTGATTGCCGGAGATGATGCACAGATAATTAGATATTTACGTTAGCCCGTACAAGTACAGGGCAATTCTATTAGTCTACTCGTAGTTCTACAATTCTGCAGTCCTCCTATTGCTCACATTTAGAGACTTAAAGATTCCTTGGAAATCTTGAAAATACCCAAAGTGAATGGTGAAACAGCTAATTTATCAAAAAGTTTTCGTTCCACCCCCCCCCCTCCCCCTCTGAAGAACATAATAGGGAATTTAAGCAAACCACGACGGCGACGGCAACGAGAACGTGGAAAAACAAAAGATCTAATTGGCAGAACAATAGCCCAGCACGTGCGTTTTAAAACTTTGTACATCTCTTAGCCGTCCTTTGCAAAACAACAAAACCGCGGCGGCAAATTATTTTAATTTACATTTGGAACTCAACGCTACTTTTAAGTGTTATGTTGAGTTTGAGGTCTGGCGCCCTATGAGACGGTAAACACATGCAGCCATTTTCGAAATTCTAACTAAAAGTAGAAATTCATTTTTCAATCGACGTCTTCGGTGGCGTTGCCGTCGTGACTGCTTAAGTTCCCTAATACTACTTTAAGGGGGTTACCATTTATACCCATAGTTTCAATCTTTTGAGAGGAGAATTGAGTATGCTTCCAGATGTTTAGCCTGATGGTGACGTTTTAACTTTCCACCACTAGGTAATGCGCTATTCATCTGGGCTACACACACGTCTTACTCAAGTCGTAAAACCTGAGAGTAGTCCATCCCCATCCAAATGGTGCCAATAAGATTTGTTGAAGAAAAACTCAACAGATACACAGCCTTGAGAGAATACTTCAACACTCGAGATATACATATATATCTTATTAACCAAGCGCGAGGGCCGTACTGGGAGAATATCGGCCCGAGGTCTTGACAAATAAGACCAAGGGCCGATATTCTTCCATTACGGTCCCGAGCAAGCTTGGTTAATAAGAGATTTATTACACGACTGAAGTTCAAAGGGACACAAGTGCGGTATCATTCGGGACCATTCGGGACAGTGCCCGGTCCAATACTTAGAGAATATTGGACCGGCAATAGAGCATTTTGATTAGTTGATTTTAGTTATTGGCTCTCTGACTGCCCGAGTCGTGTAATAAAATCTAGAATACCACTACTTTTTATCAGTTTTTAAATGCTAAAAACAATAAAGGCAATGCATAGTCGAGAAATCAATAACTCATTGAAGGTTGCTACAATCTGTTCCATTTTACTTTCTGATTTCCTACTTTACTTACCTGTTAAGATTCTGTTAATTACATTAAAAGCTGTTTTAATCTTAATCGCAGAGGTAAAGAAGTTTATTCTTTTTGCTGACGCTGACGGCAAATCCATTAATATCGTTTCACTGGATGTAAACTACTTCGTCGCTCAAACATTATTTAACCACCGTGGAAATCAGCGCCCTATTGCTTTGGATTATGACCCTGTCGAAGATCGCGTGTACTGGTCGGACATTGCTCAAGGTCTAATCGTCAGCGCTTTTATCAATGCAACTTCATCAAAAATTCTTTTCCGTTGTAACATCCTAGTTCCTGATGGTTTAGCTATTGATCATGTTGCACGGAACATTTACTGGACCGATACTGGAAATAACAGAATTGAGGTAGCTCGTCTGGACGGGACAGGTAGGAAAGCACTGATCGCTAGTGGACTAGATGAACCAAGAGCCATTCTACTGGATGAAAGGAATGGGCAAGTCATGACTTTTTAATTGTAATGCTTTGTATTTACTGGTTGGCGCATTCTAGCGGAATCGAATGAGCAAAGAAGTATGATCACAAGGGAACCTTTCAGTGAACATAGCCTTTCAGTTGCCCATGGTTTTGGGTACAAGCTAACTGCAAATGCTCCTACCCAATTAAATCGACTTAAAAAAACGAACGAAACAAAACAAAACAATAACAATAACAAAAACAAAAAATACAAAATAAAAAATTTAAATAACACGAAAAATTTGAGCGGCGGGTAAAATTGATGACTAAAGAAATGTCTATGTACGTTTGTGATGATAATTACTCAATAGGATAAACCGCGAAAGGCCGTTTGGCTGGGTGGGAAAGTAACTTCTGTAAACGTTTTCAGAAAAATTTCTGATGCTATTTCTTTTAGTATGATGTACTGGACGGACTGGGGCGCCGCACCAAAGGTAGAGAAAGCAGCAATGGATGGCTCAGTTAGAAGGTCCATTGTCACAGGAAATCTAGCCTGGCCAAACGGACTTACTCTCGACCAAACAACAAACCGTTTGTACTGGGCAGATGCTAAACTAGACACCATAGAAATGTCTGATTTGGATGGAGGAAACCGACAGATTGTTTTATCATCTTCAGCTGGAATTCATCCTTATGGATTAACAATCTATCAGGACATTCTTTACTGGACGGATTGGAATAACCGGAGTATTTCAAGTTATAATGCAACTAGTGGAGAGGCGGATATGGTGATTCCTGATCTACAGCAGCCGATGGACATTCACGTGTTTGATCCCTCCTTGATGTTCTTAGGTAAGAGCTCTGTGTCTACCAAGATTCGAACTATTGCCTCGTTCTTATCGTCTCTTAGTTAGAAAAATTTTACAAAGATATTTACTTGCGGCCGGATGTACAAAAAATGGTCCAACTTAGCCGCAGTTCAAGCAATCAATGAACCGGTACATTTGTTTTTTTTGTTC